CTAACTCAAGGTCTGACATCAGCATGACCACTGCAGATCTCTTTAGAGTGTATTGCAGTCTTGTAATGGCCTTTCATTTGTAGTTTTGTAGTTTGGATACATAAGTTTCTAGGCTAGAAGAATGCTTTATTAATTTTAGAAAATGGCAAGTTTGAAGAAAATTTCACTACCTGCATATCTGTCTGCATGCTGGTACCTTTAATTCTTAATTTTATATCTTGTATTAATTATGGGGGAAATATTGGGTCAGTAACTGTCAGCATGTTTTCCAGTCCATTTGTTTGAAGGAGAGTATAAATGTTGTTTAACCTCACAAATAAGGATTTATTTGGAAGAGGCTTCTAAAATGCATTCCTTTAGGTATCTGATTGGAGTACAGGCTCTGATTTTCATCCAGTAATTTAAAGTGTTTAATTGCACTGAAGTGCTCGCATTAAGCAGCCATGTTTCAGATTGTGCAAGTCCCCTGTCATAGAGTTTTGTTAAGATAAAGCCACCTTTAAAAGTAATTAGAAATAGTTTCTATTTTGGAGTGAACCAGATGATCAGCACTCCATGGTTCTACTCCATACATAAAATGGTCTCTACCTTAGATCCACAGGCTTTTAGTGTTACCAGTACTGCCCTTCTTCCTATCTTATTATTAAAGGTAAGATTGCACCTGAGGCATGTTTGCTTTAATGCATATGTTTTTCATCATGTTTGATGATGAAAAACACTACCTTGGATTTAGCAGAGTTGATTTCCAACTTGTATGAGACACAATATTGTTGAAAAGCATCTAGTAACCTTTGGAAGCCTATCTGGGAATGTGACATTAATAGTGCATGCATCATCTACATAAAGCAAGAAATCATTCAACATTGTGGATGCATGGAATTGATTTCCTGTTAGTGCATGTTTTAGATCATGCAGGACTAGATAATATGTTAGTGAAGCGGTAATTTGCAAGAAGGACAGAGCTGTTTATCTTAGGCACTTATACAATCTACATTTTCTTTCGTATCTCCACAACATCGCTGTGAGGCAGGAAAATACTGGTCTCCCTGGAGACCTGAACCACTGTGACTAAGTAACTTGCCTAAGGTCTTGAAGGTCTGTAGCAAATGAGAAAAAACATTCTAGATTTCCTGTGTACAGTCATAACTACAAGTCCAACCCGTTTTCAAAAGTAATAGAATTAGGCTAACAAGCTTGTGGTAACCATATGAACCTTAAGCATGTAATTGTGTAGTACCATCGCAGTTTCTATCCAAACTCCTTTTCCTCTGTGTTGGATATTTAATCCTCACACAAGGGTGTGTGTGTGTCATCCCCCCCCCCCCCCAAATTTTTTTTTTTAATTAAATATGTCTCTCACGTTTTCAGTTGTTGCAAGTGCTCTCACCATCTGTGTATGTTGGAACGTCTGCACATTTCTAAAATACAGTGCTTACAATACTATATAAGTAAGGTATTTACTTAAATCAGTTTTGTGATTTTCACGGAAACCGTGAAAAATGATGATCTCCGTGATTTCCCAGGAAATCAACGAAAAACAAAAAACCTAATAAAAATAAAAGTATAACTCCCCAGAAGGAGCCAGTGATCCTTGCTGCTCATGCAGCCTCCCGGGAGAGGAAGGCATCAGCTGGCAGGGTGGCACAAAGGGCAACTAGCAGTCAAGATGGCAGCTGCTCCCTTGTTCCTCCCCCCCCACTCTGTGGGGCCTTTCTGCCAATCATCACCATGGGTGGTTCCTCTCCCCAATAAGTGTTGAGGGGTGGGGCTGTATGAAGTGCAGCCAGCAGTCAAGATGGCAGCCAGCCCCTCATTCCTCCCTTCCTCAGGGCCTCCCTTTCAATCAGCACCAAGGGGTACGGGTGCTACGAATTTATTGTGAAATCGGCTCTTCAAGCCATGACCAAGCCATGAAAATTGCTTTCTCTCGTTGTGAGTTAGTTAAGTCCCTACATATGATGTGGGTGTAGGGGACTTTGGCAGCAGTAGGTTTGTGATGGCTTCATGGCCAATGGCCATTGGAAGGGATCCTTGAAATAATTGCCTCTTGCATCATTTTGGGACCATCACAGCTACAGCACCAATCTTACAGTACCATACTGTTTTGAGTACAGTAGTTGAACACACAGCAGCTTTTTATAGATTTCATAGATTTTTAGGGTTGGGAGGTACCTCAATAGATGATCGAGTCTGACCCCCTGCCCTGGGCAGCAAAGAACGCTGGGATCAGATGACCCCAGCCAGGTGCTTGTCCAGTCTCCTCTTAAAGACCTCCAAGGTAGGGGAGAGCACCACCTCCCTTGGAAGCCCATTCCAGTTTCTGGAATGCTTTTATGAAACATTTTGTCCTTATCCTTTTGGAAGCTCATAAATTAAAATGTTATGACTTTTCAAGGCTAAGGATTGCCTTTTTTAATCATGATGAATATTAAACCAAGACTGTAATAAACAAGAGTAAAGCATCAAAGCTTTGGGCTACAAACCAGTCAGCTTCGTAAGTTGTTTGTGGACACACTGAAGTGTCTTCCTGAAGCACTCAAAAAACTACAATAAAAAATAAAAGCCTGGCAGCAAACTCTACAGGAACCTAATGGCTGAAATACAAGTGTTGTTTTGGAGTGGAGCTGATCAGCTCTCAAAGAACTACAGTAGTTAGGATTCCAGAGCTGTCTTTCACAATACAAGGGTCAGTGAAGCAAACTAGTTTAAACTCACAGATTGTCTTCTTTTGTCAAGAGGACTTAAAATCTGACTCAGGCAGAAGAAATATAGGCTAATATCTCATTTGGGATATTGTTAGAAGTTCACGCCAGGAAAAATAATATACACTACTACATCTCCAGCAGATTTGGCGGACTTTTATTTGGCAATATGCCAGTGAGTGTTTTCAATCAGTTTTTTCCCAGAAGGGAAACTACAATAGGTTGAAAATCAACATATGTAATGTTTGTATACCTTAAATTAAAACAGCTACATATCATCCCTATAATTTAACAAAATACTGCTTGAGTTGGAGCATAGATATGATTAAGCTACTTTATGCCTGGATTGCACAATAGGTTTTTGGGGTTTTTCAATCCATATTCACAAAAATTTCAATATAGTTTTCAAATGTTTCTATAAAAAGGTCTGTTGAGCAGAAGAGACATAGCAACCGAGTATTCTCTAATCCTGCCTTTCCCCTGGGATATTAATAGTCAGCTATTAAAGTTTGTTTTATTCAGGCTTTAAATGTATGTTTGGATCATAGAAGCCACTTGCTGGACAGTATGGTTACTTACTGTCATTAAGTACTTTTCCAGGTAGTGTTTATAAAATCGGATGAATACTTATCAGAATGTTACATGACAAAAACATCTGCTAGCAGAGAGCCCTTTTTTCAAGGTTGCCTACATTCTAATGGTCATCTGAACACACTTGTAGAAGCAGTATCTTTTTCTACCTATTAGTGAGCCTTTCTTAAGGGAAAAAAGGAAATCATTTCAAAATAACTTACTTGCCTGATATATTGAGAAGGCTGTTAGGAGTCACCATCTTCTGATAGTGTTTGAAAGCACAGGACAGGTTTCTCCAAATGCCTAAATATGTAGAATTTGAACATATCTAATTCACTACTTAATAAAATTTGGAGCAAAAAACCTGTTACAATAATTATTCTGCCCTTGAAAACTTCATGTGAATGCTTATTTTAAGTTTATAAAGCTGTATCTCAAGAAATTGTAACACCATAAAATAACAATAACTAATAAGATCCAAGATGATTGAATCCCAAGTTACATAGTCATATCTCTCTCCAGATGATACCCTAAGGCAGTGGTTCTCAACTTTTTTTGTACCAGGACCCATTTGTAAACATCGATGGCCAGTACTGACTCAGTGCCCCTCACTCCCAACACATTGCCCCCTACCCCCAGGCCCCAGTCCTGCAGTGTATGGGGCCAGGGGCAAGGGCCAACCAGCCCTTTGCAGTCTGGAACTCTGCCAGCCTGCAAGGGAAAAGACATGGTTTCCCATGTTTTTCTTCTTTAAAGGAGGATCCATTTTTTAAAGTTTGTTGATCCATTTTTTAAGTTTTTTCATGACCCTTTCATATATTCCTGCCACCCACTTTGGGTCGCAACCCGTGGGCTGAGAAACATTGCCTTAAGGCATCCTCTACATCAAAAGAGCAAACCTAGACAGGTCATAAGGCAATAAAAATTGTAGGTGGTATCTTTGAAGCTCTGCCTCTTGAAGGCTCAGATAAAGCGTAGTGGTTTCTTAACCTGGCAGGGGAAATACCATGTATCTGTGTCTAAGAAAGCAGTTTTACTGAACTGCTTCACAGGAGAACTGCTCTTCTGGTGTGGTTCAGTACTTGCCGAGGTGCAGCAGCTTCAAGTCCAGTTTGTGGAAATGGGACTCCCTTGCTTGCTCCGAGGGCCTTATCGCTAAGGGCAGGCAAAACTCCGGGGCATCCGAACCCTAAGCCTCCAGGCTTGGGCCTGTAAGTAGGATGCCCACCAAAGGTTTTGGAAACATCTAAAGCCCCAGGTGCAGGTGGAGGATGTTTGCTGGTAGTAGGGCCACTTATGGTTCTGGACTCTTGGATTTGGAATTAGTTTTGGTTAATTTGGCCTCAGATACAAATTATATATTTTTTAAAGTATCTTTGAAGCATAGGTAAAATATGTAAACTGTGGCTATAATATTGTTTAAACTATGTCAGTCTAAAAAAGACCATTTGGTAATCAGACAATATTAAAATAAATATTTTTGGAAATATATTTTTAAATATTAATATTACTTCTGAGCTTACTAGGCCTAAAAATCATTCTAGAACACTTCAGAAATATTGGTTTGGGGTTATTCATTCACACAGAAGAAATCTTATGAAGTAGCTTTTCCAGTATTTTCAGGTAAACCAATGTTGCATTTGAGTTTATTATATAGCTTAGTAAAATCCATAACTTTGTTTAATTAATTGAAAATATATCTACAATACATTTTTCTCATTCCAGGAAGAAGTTTTATGGAAAGTGCACCAGAAGGACTTAAGACTCAGTTCTCTCAACACTCCACGCTTAACAAAGGTCTTAGTAAGTCTATGGGATTCCTGTCCATGAGAGAGGCACAAGGAGAGGGAGAATTTTTCCTGGATATTTCCTCAGATTACAACTCTGGACATGAAGACACTTGCTGTCCCTATCGATGTAAAACTGATGACTTGGAAAGAAAAAATAAGCTCGGGGTAGATGCTGCCTGCAAGCAGAAGGTTTGGGCTTCCTCCACAGACTTGCTATACACAACTGATAAAGCAACTGAAAGAGACTGTTCTGGAGAGTCTCGCAGGCACAACCATCATTACGACACAATTACAGTACGGACTTTAGCTACCACCAGGAACAAAGAGGCAAGATATTCTGATGGGAGCATAGCACTAGATGTCTTCGGTCCTCAGAAACTGGATCAGCTGCGCCAGGTGTCAGAGACATCAACCTCTGCGGCATTATTAAGTGCTTTTGACAGAATCAGAGAGAGACAGAGGAAATTGCAAGTTTTGAGGGAAGCCATGGATGTAGAAGGTTAGTGTGATTTGCTACTGTGTTGATGAGTGGAACACTTACCACAAGTGGCTTTCTCTATTTGATCACAACTCTCTGTCTGGCAGCTCCTGCAAGAGGCGAGATCTCATTTAATCTTAATTTTTTAAGTAAACTGAAAAACATAAGGAGTGTTACTTCCTTATTGGAGAACTATTGCTATCCTGGTTCAGAATAGTTGCCTGTTGATTCAGGTATTCATGTTTTACATTAGTCCACAGCAGAGACTTTGAGTGCTTACAGACGTGGGGGAAAAGAAAAAAACAATGCTTTACTTTCAGCTCAGTGTGCCCCTGCACCAAATGGAGTGCTTGTCCAGAAGAGGTATTGCATCTGTTTGACCTGGCTCACCCAGCAATTGTATAACTCACGTGCTTCAGTGGGGCTTTTTGGCACTTTTATCTAGTGGTTGAAGCACGCATAATACACAGACATTGGGGAGCCAGGTCAGACTAATGCCGTTCCTCTTCCAGGAAAGCACTGTTTTTTTTGTTTTGTTTTTTTCCCCATGTCTGTCAGCACCCAAAATATGTAGATCTACTCCACTTCCTCCCCCTACCACTGGAGATGCAGTCTATGCAGGGTTGAAGCGCACTGGGGTGTTAGGGGAAAGCTTGAAATGCCACAGCTGTTTCTGTACCACCCTGAAGGACTTGAGTTTCTCTTGCTATCATTATTTCACCTTTTATAATGCTACTCTTAATGTGGCAGAATGAAAGTTGTGGGGAAGAGGGGGAAACACTGGCATGGAGAGAAACACTGTATCTGGAATCAACATCAGACCTTTAATGATTCATCTCCTAGGTTTCCAGATGGAGGCTTTTCCATTAAAGACTATTTAGTTGAAGGGGGCTGCATCAATAAAGGGACTGCAAGACTTCATTTTTTTGTTCCCTCTGAGACAGAACTCTTGTGCTCCTAAAATGGAAAAAAAAAATGAGAATGGAAAAAAAAATGAAGAAAAGAAAATAAAAAACATTACATGACATCAAGTTATACTGTTTTTCAGAGGCTTATTGTGTTTGAAGGAAGTTGGGTTTTTTTCCTTTTAAACTGCTTACTTTTGAAATATCACTGTCTTTGGCAATTTTGTTTGAAAACATTTAAAGTTAATCTATATTAATGTTGCTAATCTATTAATTAGTTTAACCTTCAGTCTCTGAAGACATGCAGTTCATGAAACTAAAGAGCAAGCCGCTCCCTGCACTAACAAGGAAAATAAAATAGTTTCACTGTTCAAGAACTCTGCTCTGTGCATGTTAGTATTGCACAATTGCAAAACCCAAGACTTGGCCAATCCTACTAATGAGCAACAGTTTGTCATTCCCACTCACACAGTTTGTGGATACTCAAGAAATCTTAACATGTCCATGCCCTGAAAAAAAATGTTGAGATGATTCAAATGCAGGAAAATACCAGATTCACACAAGGAAGGGTGAAAGTGCAGTTAGTGATAATAGATATGCTGGCTTCTAGGCCTGTGCGAATAGGGAAGTATTCGATTCCCCAGTGTGGGTGGGGGGTGGAGCGCAATGCGGGTGCAGCTCACTCTGGGCGGCAGCAGGGCATAGTTCCTGCTCCCAGCGCTCATGCGCCCGCATCCCAGCCCCCACCCCACTTGAGTAGCGCACTCCCCCGCCCCAGCTTGGCATTTTGTCCCAGTCCCAGCCCCAATCCCTCCCTCCCCTATGCCCTTTCCCTCCCCCCGACCCCAACAGACTTACCAGCTAGAGGCAGCTGTGTCAGCTGCCTGTTTAGTCTATTGCCAAATATCCGAAGTGGCTAAATCTTTTCTGAAGCTTTTCTGAAATGATTCAGATGCTTTGAATCGATTTGGAGCTTTTAATTGGTCTCCCGATTCTATTTGGATTTGGAGATTCAGTCACCAAATTGGGCCAAATCTCTTCCAAATTGAATCAGTTACTGAAGCTACGCACAGGCCTACTGGCTTCCTGTTTGGTGCTGAGTGACTTATTTATTTAGAGAAGATGCAAACAATGATTGATGATTAATGTTCCATCATTATGAGCTCACAGTATTGTTTAGTAGAAAAGGTTATAAGATAATTTCCCGGTATGGACCTGACTTGTGACATACTCATCTTACTCTGCCCTTTAAAAAAAAATTAAATAAAGATCTCTATACAAGAGCTCTATCATGTGTTTTCCCTGCTCAGGCAAGGATTTTGGTTTTCTCAGGAAAGAGTTTTAGATTAGAATTTTTTTCAGTGTAATCTTCAAAAAGGGCTCTTTTATTTTTATTTTTATTTTTTTTAAATGCTGTTTTCTCTATTTGGCCATTAACTATTCAAAAAAGGCTTTACCTAAAATTTTGTTCTGAAAATGAATTCCCAGTGAGACTTATTTGTAACTTTTTCAGTGAGGAACATTTTTAGCAAGCTGGAATTCAAAGGTTTTTGATTTTGGAGGCACTTACTGTATGTTTATACTGGCTGGGAAGCAGCATTTGTATAAAATATGAACTGTCTTTTCTTTTTTCATTCCTATGCTCCACATTCTTTACTTTCTGATCTTTAGGATGGCCATGTTTCCCTAGTTCTCTCAAAAGGGGATACTGTCACACCCCCATTCCTCCCCGCTTTATTTCAGCATGTCTACGCTGTCTCTGAGCTCCAGTCTCAGCTGAATATGCTAAAGAGTTGGGGGGTAAGAGGGAAACAGGAGGAGGACTGTTGAAACAGTCCTGTTTTAAACATGACCCAGGCATCCCCATGAAAATGGTTTTAAAAAATGGTTAATTTGAGCAAACCAATGGGACACTTGGGACAGGTGTTTAAAACAGCACTGTCTTAGTAGAAATGGAATCTATGGTCACCCTACTTATCTTGCCTTTTATAAATTGAATTAAGGGTCTAAACTCTTGCCCTTTGTGAACCTAGGCATTTTTGGCCCTCTCCATGTGCTGTGGACACATAAGCATGCATGCATAGACTGAGAATTCCCTGGAGACTACACACTGGTCAGGCATATGTACTTTTGTATAACTCAGGTAAAAGGGTGGATAGAGGGAGGAAAGGCGGGGGGGGGGGGGGGGGGGGGAGGTGCGGGGGGGGGGGGTCGAGGAGGGCTTTTCTATGCGTCTGCCCTAGTAGCTTAGTGATTAGGACACTTATCCAGGAAGTTGGAGACTCAGGTTCTAGGTTTTTGTCACCCAGAGCGGGTTTGAACATTTATTTTTCTGATTTCCTGGCACTTTGTTGTAACCATCATGTTACAGGTCAAGCTTTAGCCAGTTGTATCTCCAGTGCTCCTTTTGAAGCTGAATCACTATCCCCTGTATTTAATAGTCATTGGATGAAGCAGGTGGAAAGCATTGCAATGGGGAATTTTCAGCCCTTTTGGGAGCAAGGCTGCAATCTGGAACCCAGGGTCCTCAGTCATCCAGCCCAGCAGCCATTTCATTGAGATGCACACCCTCTAGCTTGTTCTGTCTCCCCTGGGCCCACAATCCCCCTGTCTCATCCATGTAGGAGTCCAGCTTCAAAAGGAATGGTAGAGAGGGAAATGGATAATTCCTAACCTGTAGCATGGTGATTAAAGCATTCTGCTGGCAATTCAGAGCCACCTACTTGGCTAAAAAACTAATGTTTGGACACACAAAGGAAAATAGAATTCCATCAATTTGAGGGATTTTTTTGCAGAGAGAAATATGAATTTGTCTTTATCTTGCTCGTTTAGTTATGCAGAAGAAAGCTGTAATATGCAAAGGGTATCTATATCTAGCACATACAAATCTGAATGCCTATTTACTAGGTATGTCCTACCATGTATGGTGGTAGCCTTTTGGAATGCACATGAGAGAGATCTTCAAATCTGAACCTCAGCTCATCATTTCAAGGGAGCCCATGGAAGGTGCATGGGTGAAGCCGCCAGTTCACTGGGTAATGGATATTGTGTAACTCATGCTCAAAGAGCAAGTAGAAACAGTTGGGTAGAAAGAGAGACAATCATCACAGTCAAAAATTGTCTCCTTCTTGCAGAATGTGCAGTTTAGGGGAAAATTGTCCAGAAACAAAGAAGAATGAAGTGATAGGACTTAATGAAAGGAATTTCTATGTCCAACCTCTTTCACCGATCATGCCTTCATACTTGGCCTAGTGTGACCTTGCAGGAAGGGGCTGCTGGGTAGAGATGGGATGTTACTGTCTTTAAAACAAACCAAGCATTCTGCAAAAAGAGCAAGTGTTTAATCACAAGCCTGATTGACAAACCTAGGAAGAGTTGGAGGTACAGTACTAGCAGAATCCTGACTGGAAACAAGTGTCTTTTTGCAGGACCTTCCAGGTTTTTTGCAGTATTTGACATTTTGTTGCATCAAGGCCCTATTTCTCCTCAATTCATCTATATCCTTGTCTGTAAATCTGTTTCTAACTTTTTCTTTCAAGTCCCAGAAGGGCAGTTACCTTAGTGCAGACTTAACTTTACCAAATACAGATTTCTTTTTAAATCACAAGGGAACTTAACAAACAAAAAAGGCTTATACCATTTTTAAATCAAAATTGTTTTGAGTTAACCTGGCCTTTGTTCTATTTATAAATCTTGAAGTGTTTCATAGATTCAATAGACATTAGGGCTGGAAGGGACCTCATAAGATCCTTGGGTCCAGCCCCCTGCCCAAGGGGCAGGAAGTCACCTAGGGTCAAAGGATCCCAGCAAGATAAACGTCCAAATGTTTCTTGAAAGAGTCCAGAGTAGGTGCTTGCACCACCTCTGGGGGGCATCTGTTCCAGGCCTTGGGGTCTCAGACAGTAAAGAAGGTTTTCCTTGCTGTCCAGCCTAAAACGGTCTTGCAGGAGTTTGTGACCGTTGGACCTTGTCATCCCTTGGGTGCTCTGGTGAACAGGTGTTTCCCCAGATCCTGATGCACACCCCTTATATACTTATAGGCTGCCACCAAGTCACCCCTGAGCCTGTGCTTCTCCAGACTGAAGAGTCCCATAGCTCGCAGCCTCTCTTTATAAG